GGGTGACCACATGACATGCAGAGAAACGGGGGGCTGATCGTCCGGGACCGGCCGTGGCATGGTGGGGAGGCGTAGCCCCTTGATCTGCCCCACGGGCTGCTCAGGAAGCATACGCCGGTGATTGATTCATGGGGGGGAGGGGGTGGGGAGAAGAATACTGGACCTCCCCCCAGCTGATAAAAAATGCCCGCAAGCACCTGAAAAATCTGCAGACAAAACGGGCATAACAGTGGGGGCCGGCACATTTATACACAAGGCCTAAACAGGATACTCCACAGGACGAATCCTTTATCCTGCTAGCGCCTTTACGGGATTCTTAGTGTGGCTCATGCCTTTTTCTTTCAGAGGTCAGACCGGCCCTCATTTGTGTTCTGTTTTGATTAATCGCCTAGAACACGTAATCCGAGTGAGAACGTCTGCTCATTAATCTGTTTATAAAAAAAAATACAAATTTTGGTCGAATGTCCCCCCCCTCCACCGATCCAACGCAGCAAGCTGTCACCGAAGCTTTCTGTATGTCAGGTCATGCTGAGCTCGGAGAGGAGAACGTAACTCCAAGGAGTGAGGCAGGACTTCCAACCTAGTTAGCGACTTTCACTCAAGAAAGGGAGCCCCCTAGTGGATGGGTCCACTACCACACTGTGTCACCCTATGGCACAGGTCATTTGCAGACCCCCTCCCTTCAGAGACCCCCTCCCCCAAGGCCTGCTTCCCACAGCTTTTCCACGGGTTACGCTGCCTGGTGCACCCCGAACATCTGGTCAGTCCGCGAGAAGATGGAAATCCACTTACGACAAATTAAAACTAATGGGGACCCGAGTAATGATTTCATAAGCAATTTCCCATATTAGTATTTCTAATACTTCACATGGCAAACAGTTCTGGCTCCCGCTCACTTCCGCCATCAGTCAAACGCCACGGGGAAGGAGCCGCGCGCCATGAACGCAGGGAAATGAGCTCGGGCTACACTGGCTGGATTGTTCACTGCATTATTCACCAGATTTCAGTGTTTGCTGTCATCCACGCCCCCTCCACAGCCCTGCCCCACCCATCCGGCCAAATTTGAACGAATTTAATTATTGTTAAAAATGTATTTCTATTGTTAATCACTGGCACATGAAGAGGATTACATCCCAATTTACGAAATGAGTGAAAATCCACGTAGTTATGAAACAGTCGCCTGAAATGTCATTAAATGTGAGGGCACAGGGGGTACTCTGGGTGAGGGGGAGGCTGTGCTCTGTGGGTCCCTGGTGGAGGAGCCGCACCCCGTTTCTGACTAACCCCCCCGCCCCGGACAGCCGCGATGAAAGTGAGCAGCGACAAAGCTAACGGCGTCCAGCAGTGGCACGTGGGAAGCTGATCCACTTCCAGTCAGCTCCGGAACTCTCCGCGGCACTTTTAAGCGAGGTACAGAAGGGAGACTGAACGCAGAGATCTGACAGGAATCAGGATGTCGGGGGGGGGGGGGGGGGGAATTAAATAACTGCGGAATTTAATTAATTTTTTTCAGGCAACGCAAAAACTCAGAGAGGCATTAGGAAACCACAAAGCGGTGTGTTTAGAGAGCCACAGGGAAATGTGGGAGACGGCTATCCACATCGCTACGGCAGCACGCAGCATCCCGGGAAAGACAGTGGGATGTGCAATTCCCAATGGAACGTGACACATCGACGACAGCCTCCTGGAAGTGTTGGTCTGAGCAAAGGTGGACTATGTATGTTTGTTTGCTTGTTAAATGAGGGGCATGTGGGCGCAGCGGGGGGACCGAGGCCCCATCATCGGACACGCGTGTGGAACAGTGGCGAATGCATAACCCAGACACCTTCCTGCGCACATCCAAGCTGACAGGCCCGCCCTATTCCCGTCGATACGGAGGGAGCTTCCATCTCCCCGAGTTAGAATCAGCAAAGTTTTATTTGTCTTCTTCCTTTATTCTCACCTCCCTCACGTATGAAATCCCAAGCTGGGGTAGTCAAATGGGGCGGAGGCTGAAGTCGGCTCCGATCTCTGATGAGGCAGAGCGGGATAACGGTGAGGAACGGGGCAAGTTCGCTGTCAGGCTGCCTCAGACACCCCGACGCCATTCGAACCTGGCAGGCAGGCTGCCGTAAGGGTCATACAGAGACTTCTGTGATGGTGTGTACCTGACAGTGTGTCTGTGCATGTGCAACGTTGTGTGTCTACGCATGTAATGGTGTCTACGCAGCAGTGTGTCTGTGACAGTGTGTGTGTAATGGTGTGTACTGATGATATTTAAGTGCTTTAGCCTGGGGGGAGCAGCCAGAGGGCAGGAACGTTAGCACTGGGACCCCAGCGACATCAGAGAAGCCGTCACCCGGGAGACGTACTCCCTCTCTCTCGCTGGGAACGCCTCGCGGTTAATGGGGGCGCGTGGCTCCTCCAAGGACCATCCGCAAACCCGAGCAGGAAAAAGCACGGCCACCGGTCCTGCCGGTCCTGCCTCCTTCCGGACATTCCGGAATGTCGGCCACACCGAAACGCAATTATGGCAAGAAATGTGCATCAAGCGGCCGCCTCCCTTTTGAAGCAAAAAGACATATAATTACTCAATTTTTGTGTCCTAGCAGCAGGATTTCTCACAGACTGCTGAGATCAATAATGTCTTTTGTTCTATTCCCACACTTGTACGGCGTGACAAAGAGCTGCTGTACAAATGATGCATCTCTGTAAAGCGCGCAGACAGGGGAAATAAAGTTGATTAGGGAGAGTAAAGGATACCCAGTCGATGCAGCTAAACAAGCTCATTTAACATTTCTCTTACAATAGGAGGCAGGCCAGAATGGAAATATGGACTTTAAAGGGGGATTTTTAAAAGTAAATGGGACACATCGACTTTGAAATTATAGAAGGGTGATGCCCCCTAAAAGTGACTGATGGCCGAAAGTCCACGGGCCGATTTCTGGTAAGCAATTAAAAGCCTGAGTAAAGGGTTTAAAGCTGATCTCTGCAGGGGAACTACTCCCCTGAGGTGACCCACCCACAGCACACCCCTCACCTGACCCGCAGCTCGGCCCTTCCCCTCACAGATACAGCCGCCCCCCCCAGCCCCCCTACCTTTGTTCATATCAATCAGCTGCTTCTTCTTCTGCTGTCGCTCCAGCTTCTCCCGCTCCGCCTTCTCCTTAGCCATCTTGGCCCGTTTCACCTTCTCCTCCATCTCCCTCTTCTTGTGGTTCTCCTTAACAGCTTCCTGTAAGTGGGGGGCACAGGAAGAAATACGGGGCAGGTTCAGCCGCCAGATCTTCCCACGTCGGATAGGACTTCGGGAAAAGCATCCATCAAGCGGACAGTGTGGTAAAAGCAAGGTTCCCTCTTCCAGTCATCACACCATTTTCCCACGGTTCACACATATTCTTTTGCTCTCCCCATGTCTTCAGCAAGCTCAAAGGAAACACGGAGCCTAAATTGGGGTGCTAGCTGAACATGGAACAGAACCTGCCTGTGAAGTTAGAGGACCTTTAAGACATTGAGAGGGGAGGGCATCCACACCTCCCAATTGCTCCGAGGATCTTATTTAGCCGTCTGTGGCACTCTCCCGCCACTAATCAGCTGTGATCGACATGGGCAGCATTTTTAGGTGGGAAGGGGGGGTGATCGCATCACTTCTTGCGGCGAGCATTAACCATCATTTCCAAGCTGCGAGCTCCAGCCAGGCAACAAGCAACATCTTCAGTGCTCACAGATCCACCGTCGCCCAGATGCGAGGCGTCCAGATGGGCACCCGCGCATGCACACACGGAACCGACCACCCACCTGCCTTCTTTTAATGCGGTTTATACACCTGGTGGGCACTGCAGCTGCTAAGAACCACAGCCAACATCTCCGGGGGTGGGGGGGGGGGGGGGGGCACCAGCAGCGGTCCCACGAAAGGAGGTCTGGAGGAAGCAGTAACACCCACCGGGCATAGGGGCTAAACCCGGAGCTATTGAGTGGGCCACAGCGACCTCACCTCTTTTCTCCTTCAAATGCCGGAAAGCGCGAGCTGGATCTCACAGGACGAGCGCGCGACCCTCAGCGCCACGCAAGCCGGGCCAAGTCGGGGACGGTCACGCACCGCCGCGCACCATGCAAAAAATAACACGAGGACGAGAGGCACCATGGAGCGGGAGGAAGTCAGGTGATGGAGATTATCCATGGCGACGGCCCACCTGTCCCTCACACACTGCCTGGTGCATTTTGGCATCTGAGTTCTGTAACCCAGACCAAAGTCCGGATGCCAGCTGAGACCTGGCCCTGCTCTGTTGCCTTTTTTGTCCCTGTCCTACAGGCTCGTGTCCCCCCTGAAAAGACATTTTTTTTGTACCAGTCCCATCTCTGCCTGATCCCAGAAATAAGCTGTCGTGTTCGCTGTCCCGGCCCAAAAGTCATAATCACCTTGGCCTGAAGGCGGACAGGACCACAGACCCCGCCGTCGAGGGGAGAGACGGGAGCGTACCACCTTTGCTCTAGTGCGGGGAGCATGGCCAGGAGTTCTGGGCCCATTAGAACAGAAAGAGATGATGGTGACGATGCGCGGCCAAGGAGCATTGAAGGGAAACATCAGCATCATGCCAGCCAATAGCATTGCAGGCTCCTCCTACTGGAGTCAGGCCCACGGCCTGATTGGTTATCGTTCTATTAATTTATGAATGAAGCAAGCAAGTGCACGGGCCAAACAGGTAACAGGAGCCGACAGATGAGAATTCTATAAGCACATTCGCCAGAAGCATCTTCTAAACTAACAGTACAACCACGTCATGCACATAAAGGAAACATGCATGTATCTGTGCACAACACTGCCCAAGTATCCTAATTCATCTGTTTTGCACATACATTACACATACAAATAGGTGTTAAGTATTAGATCATTATGTGGATAATTATTTATTCATGGCTACAAAAATACTTCCTGCTGGCGAATCGTAAAATAAACAAACAAGCTTTTCAGACGGTAAACATAATCGCACTACGTAATTATCTAACATTGATCAAACACAGAGTGGTTCTAATCGCCATGGCAACAAGCGTGTAAAAGCTGCTGGTCGCCAGTGTGTCTCTTTCAGCTTGTGGTGGCAACAGCGTCGGTATTTTCGCTGCTGATTTCCTTCTTATGCTCCAGAGGCATGATACCAGCAGCCACACGGGGTATTTTTTTAAAGGCTTAGTTTCGGCAAACAGCTAATAAACAGAATTCAGAAAAACAGTTTGTCAAAGAGCACACAGAATTCTGGGTATTCGTCATGAGGAACAAGGTAAAAAAAAAAATTAAATTACAGTTCTCACTGTCATTGAGACTAACTTGATTACTGTCAATTTAAACTCTAAGCATTACTATGATTACTACAAAACATTTTAAACTGCTATTTACACCCGTGTGTTATTTCAATATACGGCGACACTGACCAATTGCACGCTGGCATTTATTTGAAACGGTGACACATGAGACAAATTCAAAAACGAAAAAGCTAGACTGGAATCCACAGGATGTGCTCAGGTTGACGGCGGCGGACACTAATCGATACGATAAGGCAAAATTAGACCAGATAATTGCGTTTGCACTTGAAATAATCCAAAGTCATTAGCAAAGCCGATTACAGAAACTTGGCTTAAAACTCCCGCGTTAATTAGACAACACTGGACGGGTTATTTAAAACTAGAGCCAGACAGGTGACGATAGACTTCTGTAATCAGGGACCGGGGAAGGAGGGAGATGGATAGAATAATACCCGGCGGACCCCTGGGTGCTGGGATTCTGCCCCTGCTGGAAGGAATGCGACCTGCAAGGACCACTCTTGCAGGAAAACAACGCCAGAAAATGCACATAAAAATAATGACATCACAATGAAGGGAAGGTCATGGAGGGCTGGAGATACTACACAGAACCTGCTTCTGACTTTTGCCTGGCCCTCGAACCCCGTCTCCTGCACCGGTCCTGGAGAAATGGAAGGGCCACCTTGCAGTCTGAAGGGAACACAGAGCCATAGAAAGAGGCCGTCATACTGACATTTGCCCCGCACTGTAAGTGAATGAAGGGCAAAAAAATCCTGGGCTTTGCCCCATATTGTCCTCCCCGGCATAGACGACAGAAAGCACTTTGCTAGCCCCACACACCCAGAGCATAAGAAACAGTGATGAATTCTGGCCCCCCCAGTTCACACTGCAGAAGTGACGTGCCGAAACTGGAGCGTCCCGACACAGATGCTCACTGGGAACTCGGTCTGATGATGCCACGAGGTCCGGCACATGCCCGGTGTATCCAAATAAAATAGCACGCCAAAACTGCCTAAATATAAGGCCTAATGGAATGCCGGGCATAGCCATCTCATCAGCCAGCCCAGGCCCCCGCCCAATCCATGCTGACATCACTAAAATAATTCCCCCCCCCCACCCCACCTGCTCCGATGGCATCATCCTCACTCTCACGCCAGGCGACCGTGCTGTGTGCTAATGCAGAGCCACGCTTCTCCAGAAGCCGTGGGGGGAGGGTGTGTGTGTGTGGGGGGGGGGGGGGCAGACGAGAGCATCAGAGGAGCTTAAGGTGCATTTTGACGCTGCTGCTCCTGTAATCACTACCACCGCCGGCGCAACAACAAACAAGGTTTTAGCGAGAGGCGGGGCGTGCAGAGGGAGCTCGCAGATTTGAAATGCGGAACTCTCCGGAGCCCAAAAGCAATATGTCAAAAAGAGCGAATCTCCAGAAGGCTCCGGAAAGCCCAAGCCGGTGCGACATTTCGCAAAAGCTTTAATTAGCCATGGTCATATGTCAACAACACTGTCCGGCACGGGGTAAGCAGTGAGAGGACACCTGACCGCTTCCCGCTAATTAGGCCCCCTTACTCGATACATTTTAAGAATCGTTTATTTTTTCTTTTAATTAAAAAACAAAAACAAGTACAACAAAATGTGTATACAGAGCGGAAGCATAGAATTTTGGAGGGCATATGAGGAATTTAACAGAATTTTTTAATTTAACATTTTAATGTTCTTTGTTCAAGTAATTATATTTATACTTCTTAATTTGTTAAATTATGGCTCCTAGCTGGAATCCTGGCAAACGCCATCGTCTCTCTCTCCATCTCTACTGTGGGAGCTGCTTCTGACCTCCTTAAACGCTCACGCCTCACCCCTGTCCACTGGCTGCCAGCTGGAACCCCCTTCAGCTTTAAATCCTTGGTACTGGCATGCAAGTGAGTCGGGGGACTTGCACCGTCTTACCCCCTCCCTCCCCCCCTCGTTAGGGAGCCTCGCTGCCTTGGGTCTAGATGGCGTAAAGCCATCTGTATTCGTCCTCGGCCCCCGCATGCCGGTCCTGGGGGCTTTAGGACCCCGCTGGGTCTTCGGAACCGAGCCGGACATGCGCAGATCATTTTAAGGGCGACAGCCGTACAGTCAGGCCATCAGGGACTCCATTATCCGAGGACAAAATCGCACTGCATTCTCAATATTTACAATGGCGCCGTCTAATCAGCTTCGGCATAAACTTGGACTGAGCATCCAGTCATCAGGTTATTAGGTTCTGGCCTCCCCAACGCACTGCGGGTTTGCGGGGCTTCGCTGAATTTAAATGACGAAAACGGTGATATGCAACATTCCTGGCATTTACTGACTGGTGCCGGTGTTTATTTTAAGTCGTCCTATTTCTCCTCCCCCCCCGTTGCCAAGTCAGATTCCTGTCAAACGCGGGCATCACGGCAGCCGAGGAGGCAGCTGTCACGCACGGGCGCAGGTGACAGGCGCGGAGTTGCCGGGAGTGACAGCGGCGGTGATGCCGAGGACGGCTGACGGTACCGGCGTCGGTATCAGCGAGGAGGAGCTGGGAGAGGCAGCGGCACCGGGCAGTAATGGGAGCACGACTAATAACTAGCAGCTACAGCGCCAGCGGCAGCCACTGGCAGCATGGGGCAAAAACGACCCCAGAATGGCCCCTGGACATTAGCATCCTTATTAAACACCCCCCCACCCCCACAAAGCTCCTTCCCTCTCCCACCTTGATCGTCTTACTTGAACCGCACTCAATTAACTAGGGGGACGTTAGTTTGCCCCCATCTGTGGCATGCTGATAACTCATTAATACTGAGAGCAGCCCCCCAGCACCCAGCCCCCCTGGTCAGGATTACATAGCCCTAATCACACACACGGCTCCACCACCCCTCTCCACATAGAGAAACACACCACAAGTGATGCCTTCACAGGAAACTGCGGTTAATGTCATGCAGCAGGAGCCAGCCGCAGCCAGGTGGTGACTGGGGCGGGGCCCGTGGCCGCCCGCCTGTCTCTTTACGGACTGCCTGACGGCGCATTTGGCCGGGGCGTTGTCAGGAAAAGGCGTGCTGCGGAGCTCCTCGCCACTGGAGACTCCATGGGCCAATGACAAGCATCGGAGAGGCATCTTCCTGTCAGCCATGCTACAGGACGCCAGAATGTTCTCTTCCCTTTACAGCCAGCTCAGGCTTTCACAAGACGGGGGCATTAAGGCAGCGAAGGGCGATCCGGACAGCAAGCAGAGTGATATATTTCTGCAGCAGACAGGTCCTCTGCACCCCCCCCCCCCCCC